TTTAAACTGTCTTGGCCGAAGTGCGGTGTTTCGTCCAGCCATTCCTGCAACGTGGTTGACCTTAAAGTACGTGCCATCGACAGCGGTGTGGCACAATTAAGCAGCATGTTATAACAAATGGTGAAGTTAATGTGTGCAGAGAAGAACAATTGAAGTGAGGCTTTAAAACACTCCATGTGAATGCAAATTGCCTAAAACCGCACTTCTCTATCACAGACATCACAGTAGTAAACGCAAACTCAACAGCGAAGTCTTATAAATCGCTGACATAAATGACAAAGGAAAATCACCTTTCGACAGTCCAAAATTACACAAATGAGGGGATACTAAAAAACAAAGGTTTGCAATTTAAGAACCTGTCTGTCTGCCTAACGCTTTCTGTTCGCCATTAAAACGAATGTTTTTATGCTCGGACACATATGTTTGGTCCGAAAGAAAAGGGGCGGAACTTTGACATGGGTGGAAGGCCATTCCACCCCACAGAAATAACATGACCACTTGAATTATTGTCACCGAACCAGCAGTCAAACAAATAAAGATTTGCAGTCTGTTTATGCAGGGAAAGTGGCCCTTTCCTCGGCTGCTAACTGCTTTAAGAATCCTCTCCTCTGCTGACACACCCCCTCCCCTATTTCAGTCGCATAACTGTATGTGAAAGTGGAATAGTGAAATGGCTTAGATTTGGTGGATTGGCGAGTCTAAAGGAAAAATTACACAAAATCCAATCTCGCATTCATCCCAATCCGTCAGTTCGGGAACTCATTACCAGTTGATTGGAGGAAGAAGGCTTCCGCGTTCTGAAGGTGGTCATCACTGCAGAAAGTGGTTTACAGCACAGCGGCAACACCGAAATGTATGCTCGAGTCTAAGTTCGGAAAGCGAGCAGCGGTGATTTCGAGAGGTTAAAATATCTCATACCTTTGACGGTGACACAAAATGACATAAATTTGTGCACCTTTGTCAAAATCAAGTAAATACTACAGCAAACTGTGCCACCAAGAGGGCAGGCTTTAAGGCTACTAAAAAAGTAATTAATTAGTTGTCTTGTTAATTAAACAATATAATTTATTGTGGACAAGAGGCACTGAACATCCGTCAAGCCTATCATTCGCCTTGAAAAAAATGGCGATAGAATAAAGGCATGGTTTTGCGTTCAGCTTTTATAAACATTCATGCCGGAATGGTGGGTGTACGGAGAAAACTAACAAAAATGAATTTTTTTTGCAAAGCTTACAAATTAATTCCTTTAAGTGAGCCCGTCCGTCTGAACTAAAACAACTTGTAGCATGTAAAGATTAATGAGGCTACTTGGGAGGTTACTTGCAGAGTACAGGACGCCATAGTTGGCAACATGTTTGAATGAAGCTCCTGTTAGTGGTACCCTTAAGTAAATTTTAACCAAATGAGATGTAGCTACTGCTCAAGCCTATTGATAACTGCAGCCTAAATCTATCTCGCTACTTGAGAACTGCAATTTTTTTTTGAAAAGAGTGTACTAGAAGGTTCATAAAAGATTAAGACGAAGTATTCATTCGGGTCTTGTTAAAAGCATTTTTTGCAGTCACATTCGAGTTAATCACCGCGCCAAATGATAATAAAACTTTATGGGTCTGGATAGACGGTAAAGGATCGAAAATACAAATAAACAAAACAATCTTGGATTAGAAGTGATTGACTAAGATTTGGACTCGCTCCACAAAGCTGTACAAAGGAGGCTGTGAGAGCATTTCGATTGAAGGCAGTCACATGACTAAGGTCGAAAGATCAGATGCTAACACCGTGACACCAATTTTAAGAAGTTTAGCTCATGTAACAAGCTCTCGGATTAGAAGCTTGGCTGTAAAGCAACACCTTGAATTTCTCTCTTAGATTAGGTAGTGTTTAAGTGCCCCATGTAGTAACTTTAAAAACAAACACAAAATTTACATAACTATGTATCATACAAAGAAATAGTTGAATCTTATAAAGAAGTTTAGTTCAAATCAATGCACATTATCCAACTTTTTCCTTTTTGCCATTTTTTGCTTTAATTCTGCTTTTCGAATTTGAATTGGCCAACACTCAAAATGACCACGAGTCGAAAATGAAAAGTAACCAGCAAGGAAAGCAAGTTCAATAAGTTTCTTTGTATTAAAAAAACTTAGCTTGTCTTTGCGAGACAATTTAGCAGATTATTTTTAAGCCACTCATCACTTAGTGGACATCGCATGCAAACTTGAGGCCAACGATCTTAACTTACTCAAATCTAGACTGATACAAGGCCATTAAAAGGCATATATGGGTCTAATGATTTTAACTGGATGCTATAGCAATGACGTGGCTATCAACAGATAATAATATGATAGTTGTAATTGCACATAAATTGTTAAGTGGATAAAATGCTACAAATTAACGGATGCTACTGATGAATCAATTAAGTAGCAAGTAGAAGAACTACTTGCATCTAGGATAATAAAATGGGTGGCTAATAAGGAAATAATTGCTTTCGTTTGGAGTGTGTAACTAACGCATATCCGTAACATTTTAAACAGAAGCAAGTGATTTAGCTTGCTGTTGCTTCCTCTGCAAATTCACAAAGGCATCACTTTCTGGCCAAAATACAATACTTCCTAAGGTACCACCTTAAGGTACCACCTAAGGTACCACCTCTGTAGACAAATACATTGTTCTGTTCTCAAAGTTATGCATCACTTTCCTTCCCTACACTGGATATCGCCAGGTTCCCCATCCTGTTACGCCGTATGCGAGCAATTAACAATTTGTTACACGTAGGAAGGCCGTAAACTTGGCAGGAAAGAAAGTTCCAACCTCCGCAGGGAAACCTGACACTCAGTACATCCTGTAAGGGTTGCAAAGCATTATCAACTCAGTGTCTACAAATTATTTCGGTTGTTGAAGTCAGTTGCTGCCTAACTTCCTCATAAAAAATGGAATGGATGGAGATTGCGCAATGCCTTCTTCATGATTTTTTTACTAAGGAGAGTTATTATCGCAAATTTTGGGAGTTGCGTCATGACTTTGGGCAAAAAGATGGTTGGATTTGTTTGCTACGGGGATTGAAAGCCTCCATTTGTTATTACTTGTTGTGGGAAAAGCGAAAGTCCTCCAACGCTTCTAATTGATGGGTTGCCTAGTCGCACACCACACTTCTTCTCATTTGTGAAGAAAGAACAAGTAAAAACTTTGTAAAACAACAAGTTGTCATTCCTTACAACTTGCTGTCTGCCACATACTTGAGAGGCCTTCCGAAGTACCACACATATGCCATCACAAATGCAGTTAGCATACCCAAGCAGAACTCGCGCGGCTAATGCAAGCCAGCCTATTTCAATGCTGGGCCTAAGTACACACGCATACACGTTTTAACGAAAGCGTCGATAAGTCTTCTTAGTGCATTAGCCGTTTTATGGCAGCCCAGCCTGCATTGACGTCGTTTTGTCAACAAGCTCAGCATTACAGGACTGGCTAAATTAATGGAAAGTGTAAAATCTTTTGAGAAGGTTTGGACAATCGGTGTCCTGGCAACACCATTGTAAAGAGTGGACCCTGATGTTAATACATGGTCGTTAAATATCCTTCTTATTGTTAGATGGCAGGAGTGAATGACCCTCACTGCATCTCAGGGAGACGTCATTTTGGAAGACTCCTAATTTGCGCTTCAATGCAAAATGTAGCATTTATTAACCTTTTGTTGGCTTGATGGCGAAAACTTACGTCTTAGGTAGTGAATTTTGCTAAATTCGAGCCTTGACTTACCCTCAGTTTAAATTAAGGACGCGGTTATTGGTTCCACGGTCATCGGGGCAAGTAAAGTAAACACTGAGGTCTGCTATAAATGATTGCGGATTTTAAAATTTTGATTGAAATTCCAGCTTTAATTTAAGTAGATTGCAGTGTAAAAGAAGGATTTTGCCCTTTGAGGCATTCATGTGGGGCCACTTTTAAGGTAAGACTGTGGCAAAAGGAGAGATTAGAATTGTTAGGTGGGAAGACATGGATCGAATTGCTACTCGTTAGGAGTGACTGCCATGCCGTGGAAACGGTAAAGTAGCAGTTGAGGTGCAACTGACACAACTGCGAAGGTTATTTAAGTGACTGAGTCACCTTGGTCTCCTGGGTTCCAATCCATCTATAAAATCCCTCTAAATAAGAATGATATCTGCCTGGCTAGACACTTCCTCCCACTCTCTTCCACCTTGATGGTGGATGTTTCACCCAAAACCAAACTATCCCGACTCCCAATGGTGTCATCTACCCCATTTACATACCCTTTGAATTGGTCATGAAGGAAGAGGATCCAGGTGGTACACCATTGTGCTTTCATCACCACATACCCTGCATGGATTTGCTTAGTGGTTACGCAACTCCCATTTGCTAATTAAGGCAAAGGAGGCGAGCGCGACCACCGTCAAAAAGCTTTCATGTTTCTCTCGACATTTATAGCAAATTTTTGCGACTTTTAGAAGCACCAAGAAGCCTTCACTTGCAATACTTCATCATTTGGTTTAAAACAAAATATTTTTCGCCTTAAGAATTAAAAGCCTTCAAATTTTCATGGTTCTGTAATTGAAACTACATTCATTCTTCTCGCAGATGGAAAAAAGAACAGTAGCGGATTACAAAGAGGCTTGGCAGATGGCGCATGGATGCTGGAAGTTGGTTTGGTCCATCATTAATGACCCCAAGCTTAGATTCCGTTTATTATTAACGAATTTCGTCTTTCATAATTGTAAAAGCTATTACTCCAAAATGTCTTAAGTCATATGCATATTTTGCCTAAAATATGCATCATTAAGTAAGGTTGTGTTTTAAGAGAGGACAGCATTTGGCAATGGTTTACTCCGTTGTTTATGCTAGGGTTGAGCTAAGGCTCTGCCTTGACTATCGAATTTAAAATGATAAAATTGTTTACCTAAAGGCGAAAATGACAATGCTTATAAAGTCTATTTTTGAATAACAAATTGCTCACCAATCATTAAAATTAGTGCCTCCTCTCGAAGATGCTCACTCCTCGTGGAATAGTTGAGTCAGTTGGATCAACAGTACAAGATGCACCATTCCTTACCCTCCTAGCCGCATTTGTACACCTCTACTTACTTCCAATCATCGTGACACCTTTTGCAGCGACTCCACTCATTTTTAGCCAAGTTGTGCTTGTGACGACAAAACTCTCTGATGACGCTGCAGCAGCACCAGCAGCAGCAGCAGTAGAAGTAGCAGCCGCAGCCAGTGACACTACAAATGATGATTGAAAGGACACACCACTCGAGTGCAGGGCCTCAGATTCTACTTCTTCCCCGATTTAGAGTTCTGTGCGAATGGGTTTGGGTGGAGGAATGCGTTGGAAGGGGAGAAGGGAGAGGTGAGCACGAATGGCAGTCTTTATGACATCAGACTGAGGTGAAATTGGAGGGAGACTGCATGTGACAGTGCATGCAAAGTTTGCCCATTCTTGTGGGCGTTTCTTCTCTCAAAATAGGCTCTTATGACCAGGACATCAGTCAGGAAGTGGGGGTGATACCGAGCTTATTGTAATATGTCCAAGCACCTAAATAAAGCATATCAAGAATCTGCGCGATTTTTACCTACTTCGAAAATAATACCCGCGTACACTTCATATTTTGAGGTGTCGAATGGATGGGTCTAAATCCGATGCGGATCTTGTTCATTTCATGATGGTGTCACCAATGGTAGTTACCGCATTACTCGTACAAAAATAAAAAGGGCTTTTGAAAATCCGACATGTTCTTTTATTCTTTATTGTGATGTGGAGATCAACTGCTATTTTCTTGATTTCTACTATTGACATGGCCTGGCATCGCCTGATGGCAGAAGGTGGAAACGTTCTTGTTCACCTTCTTTAACACGTGGTTAATTATTTCCAACACGAATCCCATTCGTGAAGAACTCGAGGACCCATCCGCAGAGTAACGCCACATCGTCGTCTCGTCGTAAACACATTCTTTTCCAATCTGCACAGGATGCCCAATAAACCCTCTCCAACCAACCCTTTTACGTAGCCACAGGTTTTGGTGCCTGAGCATGAGCTGTCACGATGTAAGTGGCAAGCTCCATTCAAAATTGTTCAAGGTCGACTTATAACGCTTTGTGCTTTGTGTAAAATCCAGGGCGTTAATTGTACAAATGATGACTACCGGAACTGGCTTTAGAGATGCAATATTTTAGGCTTAATATGTCCAAGAATTGGGATTATGATACCGAAGATGTTTTTTTACATTCTTGTTATGACACTGACTCGTCAACTCCACAACCAAAGTCTAGACGCCTTAGTTTATACGACTGTGGAATTCGTATGTTTAAATGATGATGCCAAGAAGCGGGAAGCACCACTATTCCTCACAAAATCCCGAAGGAACTCTAATTTTAGCTTACCTAAATCGCAATATCGTATTGTTGCTATTTGCAGTTACGTGGAAACTGGCCGGCTTAAAGGCACAACAGACAGATCATTTTATTACGTCGTGAGATAATCGAGATACGCTACATTTCCCTGTAAATCTCTTTAACACGGCTATGCAGTGGTTCCTGAGATAATCAGAGACGGCCATTTATACTCCCATCATCCGCGTGATTAGGTGGCTGCTTTGTGGAAGCAGATTAAGCACAAGGGGCTACGAAAATGGATCTTTCAACAGTGAGGGAGCAGTATGCTTAACTAACCAAGGTGGATTTCTCAAAGCTCATAGACGCTCAAGGACAGAGATGCGACCTTCTGAATTGTCCTTTGTCAGCCTGCTGGGAGGTGCCAAGAGGATGCGTCTGTTCGGGAGTACTAAGACGAAAGTGCGCACGCGATTTGTCAGAAGTCGCCACCATCTTTTTACCTTATAGAGTAAGGAGAATTGCCTACAGCAAAGCAAAATGCTTAGACAAGCACCTGAAGAGACTGCAATGGCAGTTAGGCTAGTTGTTTACTGTCTTGTTTAAGAATTATTGGCACTTCGATCCCCGCCATAGCCCGTGCGTCCTTCAGGATCACTGAACCGTCAGTAGCAATAATAGCTGTTCTGATTTATGTTTTTATATTCGACTTCATTTTCAACCCAAACACGCATTCAATGCGGTAGACAAAGTGGCATCTACAGCGCTACCTAATAGCGACATAACTTTTTGTAATAAGTAGCTGAGATTTGACATGAATGGCTAACTCATCAAGAAGGAACTCGAATTTGCGTGATTGGGAGGAGAAGGAGGAGACGGTTGCCCTCCGACACATTTGATGGTCATGCCGAGAGCTCCCCCATGGCAGGATATTCAACGATGATGACTCAGCCACACGAATAGACCAATGTCTTTTTGTAATTATAGGACCATTAATCTCTCCACATATCTCAGGTCAGGCATACCCTCTTGTGAGGGGGAATCGCATTGTAAACGGTTGCAGTCTATGAGATTTGAATGCTTCAGATAGACTTTAAGCGCAAATAGCAGTCCGAAGATTGTGCATGCAGGGTGTGAACCAGAAAAAAATGCGATTTCATTCCTTCTCGTGTATGACGTCTTACTCCTTACTCTGCACCACAAATGCACAGTAGAACTTCCCAGAGGGGGTAGAGTCGCGAGATGCCAATTTTAAAGGGAAGCGGAAGGGAGTGACGATGAGACTGCGTTAAAACGGTGACCACCAGTGCTAAAAATGTCATTAAATCCATTTTAAAAGACTAAGTGATTTAAAGCATTAAGCTAAAGCTTTGATGTAGGGAGAAGAAATGTGTAAGTTTAGCTGACTAAAGGCGTTAAGATTATTCAAAAAAACTAAGTCGATGCTAACTTCTGCTAATACTACGTTTATGTGTTACAATTTGTGAGTATTACTAGCACAAAGGGCGTTGCGGTGTCTGGGTCATGCCAACACCTTCCAGCCCTTCCAATGGACTCGCGATCCATGAATTTGCGATGCTAGCAATGGCCAATCCTCACAACCTCATTGGTGGTGCAAGCACAACAATCGCTGAGCCTTAGCGTGGGTCATCAAATTTGCATCCATATGGAAAGATGCTGCTTGAAATACCTCAAATTCTTCGACATTTTTCGTCCCTCGGGTATTATGTACATGCTAGCCATGGCTTAAGCTCGTCGGTTGGGGTTAAGAGGTCTTGCACAAGACCGGAGCTATTTGACTATGATAGGAGTTTGTATAATTCAGTGAATACAGGTTTATGTGTTCTTAATTTCTTCATATCTTAAAACCCACTCATGTAGCGTTTTGGAGTATTTTAAGATGGTTTCAATAGCAATATCTTTCGTGCGGAATGCGGGTCTGTGACGTCTTAAAGCTCTTCTACAAAGGACGCTTGGATTTCCTCCTCACTAACGTATGCACTTTCTTTCAAAGTTATAAAATAAAATGCAATTCAGTAGTGTAAGTCAAGGTAGTTGCCTTTTAAGGTTTGACTTCTTTTAATCAACAGTAACGCAGCTCTTTAAGACTCTCCTGAATGCGAGATGAAAGTGGACGGCCTCGTTTACGTCCGAAATGATTCGTCTAGCCACTTCAGAAGGCCATCCGGTTTAAAGTTAAGTGATAAAATACAATTAATAAATATACGATAAACTAGGCGAGGCCAGCTTCAAAATAGGGCTGACGAATTTGAAGTCTGAACTTAACTTGGTTTCGTAAATGTTTGTAAGGGATTTCCATAGCTCTACTACTTTGGTGTGCTTACCTTGTGCTGTGTTACTGTCACTTAAGGCAGCTCTTGGCAAGAGTAGTTCGTCTTTTAGTATTGTTTTTCCACAAAATTACGTTAGGAAGGAAATTATTTATATTCTTCTTTGAAAAACTAAAGTCCACGAGCCAGCAACTTTAACAAGCTCTAATTTTAAGTTGAACTTACTTAAGAAATGCTATAGAAATTGACCAAAATTTAACAGATAATTGACCAGGTTGATAGAAGCTAATTCAGACTTCGACAAAATTGCGAGTGACACCTCTGATTATGCATCCCTTATGTAAACGCATTTGGATCCAAAATGCATTGCACCAGGCTCACTGTCACCCCATTTGACATTCGCGAGCGTGACTGGTGTCATAATACTTGACCTGAGGTTTAAACACCGATCCCTATAATGTAACACCAAACCCGGTGAAGTGGATAAAAGGCCGCCTCTGTAAAGATCAAAGATAGCCAAACTATGAAGTGTAGTTTTTGTTGTGGCAGTTATGAAAATGTGGTTTGAAAACTGTGATGGGGAAGAGTTGTGTGTACAGTCCTCAGCAGACATCGTCCCCTCTTAAAACAACCGCACGTGTACGCTCGGATTAAGTTTGATAAAGCTGTCTTTCCCATTTGAAAAAATTTGCAAGCCCTAATTGAAGTGAAGACAGTGGGCATAGAAAATGGCCTTTAAAGTTGTGATCGAAATTTTAACAACAATTGTTGCATCACTTTAAGAACATCAAGCCCTGGTTTTGAGATTAAGAAGTTTGATTGTAGTCGGTGCTATTTAAAATACCTACTTCTAGCGCATAGATTTTGCAAATTTTGTGATGATCTGCAGCCTCTCTTTGTCTACTATGTAAATGAGCTGTGCGTTGATCCGTTGAGATCCCCTTTAAGAGGTAGACGTTTGGAGAACCAATCAACCTTTGCTTCGGAATCCTCATGCTATGTTATCATTAATGTGGACCGAATTGTTTGTTAAAATAAGAAGAAGAAATAAAAGGGTGTCCATTGCAGGAACAAAATAATACCACTCAAGTGGTTAGCTTGATGCTTTGGCAGATGACTGTCAAAAAGTGTCCAAACTGTACGTGATGGGTTCCATAACCCCTTTGAGTGCCGTTAAGACACATCGTTTTCCATTTTTGAATGCCACATTACTCTTTATCCTATTCACTTAATTCGCCATGCGGAAAATCTTTGCCTTTAATAGTGGTTAAAGCAAATGCAAAGAAAAGGTATTTTCTGTATCCTTGCTACCGATAAGTAAAAAGGGCTTAGCTTTGTATAGCAATGGGACTAATCACTACTGATGTGCGATGGTTTATCGCATAAAAACCCCTTCAACCGATCAGAACAAATTAAATGGTTACAAAATATGTTTAGGCAGTTTCATCTCCCGTGAAATTTGTACAACATGAGAACATATAGGCTTGCACTGTATTGCATAAGATAAATTGCCCACCAATCCTTAAAGTTAGTGTCCCCTCTCAAAGATGCTTACTCCTCGTCAGTTGGATCAACAGTACAACATACACCATTCCTTACCCACCTAGCCGCATTTGTAC